TTTGATTAATATTTATTTTCAAGTTTCAAATTTAGCAATTTCCATTTTCAATAAGAGAAAATAAGAAGAAAATAAATCACATTTTCCAGTAATTAAATTTTACTTATTTTATTTATTAAAATAAAAGCTAAAGCTTATTCTTGATTTATTGTCATATGAATTTATACTTATTAATTTAATTACTTATTATTTTATTTGTTTATTTTTGTGCTTTTAATTATATATTTGTTTACAGTATATGATATAATTTTTGCTTTATTTTTTGCCATAACAAAAACTTATTTCCTACAAGCTTCTTTTTACTTTAATATTAATACTTTTTCTCTTAAGAAGCGATAGAAATGTGTATTTTTGAATTCTTCTTTTCGATGAGTATTTTTACACATTTATGTTTGACAAATATTCATTTTGGTCTCTTGAGCTGTCACTTTGGCTGTGTTCCAAAATTGATTGCCAGTACTGAAAATCTATAGTGCACGTAACGTAAACTGTAGCATTTTCAGTGCAATAAATTTGACAGCTTTTAAAATTACCGCGGTGCGAATGTTTAAATGGCTGCACTTGGAATCTGCGCAGAATCGTTCAAAATTTGTCTAAAAAACGAGCGCACTGCGTTTCTTCTTCATGGACTGGCACTGGCCGCTAAAATTTGAATCGCGATCGAAGCGATCAATTACGAACGTGACATGGCGGATCGCGGATTTGTGTTCGAGCCGTTTTGTGTTTCTTGTGAGGAACTTTCGTCTAAAAGTAAGTGTGTGCGAAAGATTATCGCGAATGTCATAAAATATATCGGAGCTTCAGTTTCATGCATGTTTGATGATGTTTGGTGTCGACCGTCGTCACCACATCTATTTCTCGTCGGACTACGTCGAAATTGCAAACGATGTATGACAATAACCATTGCCAAGTTCATCGTCGTTCTGTAATCAGCTACATTAAATTACAATATTTACGGAAACACTCTTTGATTTTTACACTAAATATTTTGCTTGCTCATTCATGCTTTCTTTTCCCGTTCATATAATTGATAACGTCGCTGATCTTGTGTAACCTACACATTAGATTTGTCATATACTGATGTCAAAATTAGGATACCAAATTATAGAAAATTAATATTGCTTGAAAATAATCGGAGGGGGTCGAGAAAGGTGTCGGGTGTATGTTGTATTATACGGGGGATACAGTTATTGCGTTGTCTATGTGACACTTTCATCAAATGTATTCCGTGAAATCGTAATTATTACTCGTATAGCAGATTTTCCATAAATTAATTAAACATTTGAGATGTCTTAGTAATTATTGAAAATGGTCCTTCGACATTTTATTTGCGATAGTCAATAAAATGTTTTATTTGCGATAGCCAGTAAATGTCTTATTTTTTATATTATTTATTAATTTTTTTTGTTTTTATTAGAAAATCCTTGTATTTTTATAGTCAGTTCTTATATTTAAATCTTAAGATGTCAATCACAGGCGAATTACAGGTATATTAACATCTTAAGAAAATATCCTTAAAACAGGACTGAACTATGAATATATTATTTATTTCAACTTAAGAAGCTAGTACGACTTTGTGATTGGTTTATAGAATCAACTATGAATCAATTATGAATTGGCCGAAGAATTGTGTATCGGCTCTTTCTACCAAAGATTCAGATTTAAGTTTATCCAGAACACATTGCACAGTACAACACACATTGCCTCTCATAAAAAAAATCAAAGAGATTCTGAAAGTAGATGTAAAAAAAAATATTCGTGTCTCGGCGTTTTATCAGATCAAGTCATTAACATTTTTATGCAGCTATTTATCGTATTTGCTTCATATTGACTTTTTACAATTGTTTTAAATTATATAATAATTTTTTAAAATAAATAATTGACGTTTTTGCATGTGAAATTATGCGATAAGTCCGAATACAAAAAAAAACAATTAAGAATTTTTTTTTCATATATTTTCTTTGTATAATAATAATAATAATAATAATTCTTTTTTTTTATAATAATATCTAATAATAATATTATTATTATACAAAAATTTGAAAATATATGAAAAAAAATTCTGTTTTTTTTATTCGGATAATCATCTACTTTCAGAATCTCTTTGATTTTTTCATGGGAAGAAAAAAAATCTATTTTTTTCGTATTGTGTTATAAAACAAAAGGAATAGATGCCTGTAATATTTTGCTAAGATAAAAATCAATCGTATCTTATTGAAAATACTTTATTTCAATAATACTGCAAAACAAACGGCTCATAGTACCGTAACAAATCATATACATCATGGAATGTTAATCGAAAATGACCAGCGACAGTCAAGTCGTTTAAGCGTACGATAGAACACTGTGTGCAATATATTATAAGATTAAACGCGAAAATTAAATTTTTATTTAAAAAATATAAAATTTTAAGTTATATATTTCTTTAAAAAATCTTTTTGTTTGATTAAATTTCAAGTTCTCTATCCTTGTGAATAATTTCCGACTAAATTTCCTTTTTTAAAGTTGTGATAAATATAGATTTTTAACCGAATTTTTCGATTGAGCATTAACAAGTTTTCATCAATAGCATCAATTTCATTAATAACACTTTTGTACTTTTATCTTATGTTTCTTTGCTTTCACATTACAGAAATCAAATTTAATAACTCAATACGAGAAATTATTTACTTTTAAAAGCAACAAATAACACTCAAAAATAAGTAATTAACCACTACCTTCCAATATTAAATTTCTGTAAGGTTTGAGAAAAATAACAAAAATATCTTGTGCGTAGCTATATTGTAATCGAAACTACACTGAGAATAAATATTCTAAATTTCAATTAATATTTTATTTTATTTAACAGTACTAACTAAATATTTATTAAACAAAAAAATATATTTATTTGATACAAAAAACATTAATTTAACAATCACTTCTTTTTATCAAATAAATATTGATTTATTGTAAGTAAATGTTTAGTTGGTAGTATTCAAATAAATATTTATTTAAATTTAGGCTATTTTTTTCTCAATGTATGGGTGCTTTCCAAGCGACCCAGTATATAACACAGGATCATCTCATCCTTGTTTAACATTGGTAATGCACATCGTGTCTCATGTTGGAAAGCACCTTATATATATTTTTGTATATAAACTTTTACTTAAAAGATACTTACATACAAGATATTTGCATTTATCAATTTATAAATGAACGAAAACACTAAAATTTCTTCAGCTGGCTTTCGCGAAAAACTTTCGCACGACGATACTGCTGCGTTATATATGCTCGTGTAAAAAATATTAAGTCTTTACAAATTTGTCGTTATTAAAGCAGATTTCATAAGAATGCTAAAAAATTGCTAATCGCAAAATTTCACAATTGATTTATATTACATATGGTTAATAAATTACATATGGATTATGTAATATAAAATCGTATGTAATATAAAATCCGTATGTACGTGAAACATTACATCATTGTTTAATGATAAACTTTGATAAGTACATCGCAGACACATAACAAATCTGTCACTGTATGTATGTCACGTTATTTTTTTGATGTATTGTCACGTTATTTTCTTATGTCGATCGAATTTGTTATTCAGGCTTATTAAATAAACTAATGTCGAAAATCAATGTATTTTTTCTAAATTTCATCGTTTTCATCGCGTTTTTTCATACTTTGTCGCGACGTATCTGTTAATTCCGTCAGCAGAAGAGTTTCCGAATCGGGAAGGCTTGTCGAGTCATTTTCGTTTAGGCCACTAGCACTTCCAGTGAGTTTTCGACTACGCCTTCGAGCCTTCCTCTTGGTTTTCAATTTCGTAAATTCGCTTGTGCCATTGTCAGAAGAGGAGGTGCTTGATGTGCTGGGCAAATCGTCGTTTATCCCACTACCGGTGTAACTAGGCGCTGGTTCATAAATGATACTTGACCTAATTGATGGTGCGGATTCTTGTGTCCTGAGATAAAAATAAATTTTAGGAAAATTAAAATGCCTTAATTACAATTGAAACGTCAAATTTAATTCTCAAGTTTCTAATCAAATTCAATTTAAAAAAAATGCTAGTAGAATTTAATTCTAACCAAATTTAAGGCTATAAAACGGGTAAATTTCCAGATGATTCATACACGCAGTTGCGAATTTTCTGATGTACATTTACAAATATTGGAAATCAGAATTGATTTTTCGGACTTATCATTAAATTATCAACCTTAAAATGTTCTGCCTTTCGACCGCGGATTCTGCACTGCCGGCTATTGTTAAAGCTCCTGCATGTGCTTCTGCGGGTGCACTCCTGGAGAATATTTCACGATTGTAAAATTGTGCGACACCAGGAACGTCGACGGGATCACTCGGCGGTGGCGGACCTTGCGTAAATATACTTTCTACGTGAGGCCTGCTTTCGTTCGATTGTCTTAACGACGTCAATGTCATCTGCTCGTCCACTTCCTCAATGACGCCTATTCTCATGGAGCCACCTGCACCTATGATATTATTATTTTATCCTTAATCAGTCGTTTTAATATAATACCTAAACTCCTAATCTGTAACTCTTAATGACAGTGTCGATATCGATTATATTGTGTAGTCTTTTTACTTACAAAACTTGTGCAACAATAATATAATGACATCGACGCTGTCGTTAAGAGTTATAAAATAGGGATTATAGCGTTAAACAAAATACGTACCAGATGGTCGTGGTTGTAATGAAGTTGTTGAACCCATGCTCGGCATCTTTTCTGTGGCTTTGACGGCACTCGTGGTACCTCCGTCCGTCCTGTCATCTTTGCTAAACAGTCGCTTAAGTGCATTGGTGACGCTGGCTACCCTCGTGAGGGATCCCAAATTGCTAGGAATCGAACCGCCACTGATATTGCGATCTCGATTGCTCACTCTACTGGTGCTTCTAATAAAAAATTAGCAGAATTTTAGAATCGTGAAGATAAGTTATCATTTTCACATCAATATTATAATACTATACTATAAACCGTAGTGTTTTCTAAAAGTACATCTTTATTATCTAATGTTATTACCTTTATGTTTAATATATGTATTATTAAAATGAAATTATAATTATTATATGTATTTTGAATTTCACAAGTTTTACTCTTCATTCATTTTTCATCACAAGATATAAATAGCTACCTTATTAATTTCTCGGTGCTGTCTGTATTGCTTCTGAGTTTGCATTAAAAATATGAAATGTGAATAGACCTACTTCACGTTAAATTTAAATAAAAAAATATTCAAATGTGTGGAGTAATCTGTAGTTACCGGGACAGTTTTCCTGCGATAAAATGTATTCCTGATGCAGCATCATCAGCGATGTCGGAGCGGAATTTCTGATCATCCATCGGCATCATCTCGTCAATTTTAACCGACGATGGTTGCAATTCTTGTTGAGCGGCGGACAATTGTATGCCAGCTGTTGAAGGTTCAGGAGGTTCCTCGCGGGGTTGTGCTGCGGCGGTGTAGGGGAGTTCGGCGGGGAATATCTCATCCCAATATTGATCACGTATGAGTTCAGGATGTTCGTGATGCATTTCGTCAACAATTAGATAGCTTACCTTAAAAATCAAAAATAGCATTATTTTAGAATTTCAAGAGAGAAAAAAGTAAACGACGAGAAAATAGTTCTTACTTGCAAATTACGATCGATTAACCAGTTTACTTCAAAGTCATCGTCGTCTTCGCCGAATGGATTGATTAACGTTTCGGCTACTTTTAACCAGCCCATATAGAAAAAGAATTGCAATGTCGCGAATACTGGGAAGTACAGATCTATAGTCGAGTTCGACTTTTGAATCCACTGACGACCCATCACAGTAGTCAAAAAATATGTATAGACGGCTAATGTTACGACCTACAATAAAAATAGAATTTAGAATTCAGATGCGGCAAACTGACAAACTATGCGACTCTATTTATCAAATATTTAATTATTATTCTTCCGGACTTCTCAAAATTTCTTACAACTATTGCTTTGTCTTCCGGAATTATTAATGTAAGTAGTCTCTATGTCTGAGTACCTGAGTATACACTAACGGGACGCTGATTGTGTCATAGTGCGATATACTGCCACACATCCCGCGGAACCTATTAAGTTCATCAATTAGAGTTTTCACCGCGAAATCATCACGTATTCGACCTTCTTGTCGGGCTCGGGTCACAATACTGGAAGCCCAAACTATCGGCAGCCAATGTTTACTTGGCTTCGGAAATTTCGCATTTAGACTTTGAAATATCACTAATTCGTTGTCCAGCAATAAACCGCTCTCCACGAAATGCTCTAGAGTAGGAAATCTCTTCTTTACACGCGGCGCGACGTTTGTTAGGACTATAGTCAGACAAACGCACACGTACCTGAAAAAAAAGAATTTTTTTTTTATTGGAGAAACTAAAGTCTTGTATATAGAACTGCCTAAAGTAAAACTCGCTACATAATATATAAAAAAGAATTCGTACGAAATATTTTTTTTATCTTGTCTATAACATGTGAAGTTAAATACTTAATGATGACATTTTAACTGATTTATTTAACAAACTATTATATATTTTGACATTTAGAAAATATTTATATATCTTGGAATATTTAACCCTCCAACGGCACATACCATGTCGTTTCTTATTTCTCTATACTCGTACTTATGTAATTTTTATAACTTTTCTAAACTTTTTTTCCAATGTCTACGTAGCAGAATAATTTAGCAGAAACTTTAAAGAACATGTGTAAACTATAGAATTTTTCGAGCACTTTAAGAGCCTCAAAATCGGATTGGACACAAATGGCTCATGTGTGCCGCTCTAAAGTATTGAAAATAAGTGTGCCGTTGCAGAGTTAATCGATCTTTTTTTTTCTATCGTTTAAAGAAAAATCAAAACATGCCTTTCTTTGCAATTTAAATTGGATGCAACTTTAGTCGTACTTTATGGATGCTATAACTCTACATTGCACAAGGTACCTAACGATCGTTCGACGCATTAAACGACCACGTTCGTCGTTCCCATGTATAGTGGCTGATACGAAGACTGCGATGGAATCAGGCCATGGTATCGTCATGTATTGATTCCACCATCTGGTCATGACGATACTGACATAAAAACCTAGGACGAATGACAGTGGTATCAGGTCGCTGTACTCGTTGCAGTATGACACTATAGATTCGAATATCTTCTTTTGCTCCTCGTTCAATAATAATCGGTAAATACCGGAGAGGGAGTAATAGATGAAGAGGAAGAGTGTCAGATCGAGCCAGACAAGTTTGTAAATGCTCGCCCGCCATCTGAAACAAAATCGTGCGACTCGTAAATTAGATGCAGACGCGAAACATCTGTCAAGGTGTTATAATTGTCTCATAATGAGCGATCTCATCTACTTGCTAGGAAGATCTCAATAGCAATAATGCGCTTCAAAATTTATCTGACGATGTATTAAAATCACAAAGCGACAAAACGCGATAACGTAATTTGTGTGCTATTTTCGAGCTGAAAATCAATAATCCTGCTTCGTATCTTGACTTATTGTTAGTGCCTCGCTACTAGTAGCGACATTATGCTTGAAGACTTATCAACTTTGAATGACGAAGTGTTATATTTTTATACAAATACGTTGGAAATGTTCGCTACCGGTTACTTGCGATTGGAAGTATTCCAACATGATTCGTGGTATTATTCTCAGGAACGTGACCTACGTGAATGATATTTACAAATTCACGCGTTAGCTTTTTACGTGAAATGATTAGTAAAAAGAGAAACATACAAATCGTATTTATGTAAATTATAATTGCTATTTTAATTATAGAAGAAAAATAGAAAAAGAATGCGAAAAAGGAAATAAATGTAAAAATAAATATGGACAGCTGCAAAATTAATACATTGAATGATAATAACAGTATCACATTGAGAAATAAAAAATAAAAATTCAGGGGTTAAAAAATATAAATATAAATCAGGCATTAAAATATAAATACCGAAAAGTAGAGATATTATGAATAAAAGAAAAAAGATTAATCCAATGATAAATTCAAAAAATAGCTGAAAATTTTTAATAAATATAATATATTCCAGTTGACTGGAATAGATTAATCATCTCTCAAATGCTAAAAAGTCAAAATCTTACCTGAGTAATAACTTGAGGAAGCAACCGAGGCCTCTGCAAGTGGCTACCTCGGCAGTGTAGGAGACAGTCATCTTTTATCGAGCACGTGAATCGTCCCTCACGTGGTTATTCTCTTCTTTATTTAACTCTTCAACTTTAAGTACTACGCTTGCACTTTCGCCGATAAAAAGGTTGTGACATCCCCTAAGAGTTTCGTCCTCTCGTCAAATGAGATAACTAAGTGCGAGAACTAATGTCAGCTCCTCTTCGGCATCATCTCCGGCTTCGTTTCCTCGAAACAGCCAAGCTGACGGTCCACCGGTAAGAAATCCCCAAGGTCATCGTTTGTATGATTGAACCGCCTGACGTGATTATATAATGTAAGTTATACTGACAGAAACGGCAGAAACTTATTAGCTCTAATATACGCACTTTTCGCGTTTCGCAAGAATCATTTCTGTCAATAGGACTATTGTTTAAAAAATCTATTTTCGTGTTGCCTCGTCTCCTTCGTTTCGAAAGAAATGTGCTTGGTATATTCACCTTCCATAGCAATACGACATAAACTTGGCGCAGTCTCACGTGTATTCCTTCTCACGTTTAAATTTTCTACGTACTGTTATCAATGTTTTTTATCATACATTATCAGAACTTGGCAGGTTCATAAATTTACAATAAAAGCTTCTTTATATAGATAATAGGTGAATTCTTAAGAGTTATGAATTTAACTCGTCCGCGTGACAATTTATTATCTCAGAGATAACTTTGAAGTTCTGGATTATCAGCTTCTCCGTTACCTCGTTGATACGATAGTTTCTTTCAAAACGTAGACAATAAACGTAGTTTATTTATGTTGCAGAATTAAGATTATATTTCTTAAGATTCTTCCAATATCTCACAATAGCTTATAATATTAAATTTAATTAATTTTCTAATTATCAGATTTCCTTTTTGTCAGGAATTAAACATCTCTTCATTACAATTTGTCGTTGTCATGATAATATCTTTAAAGTATCCTCTTTAGTCTTGAGGACTAAACATTTGACGAGGCTAACATAGAAATGTGAGAAATAAAACTGATATTTCTTGGTTCATCCGAACCAAGGGCATCAAATGCGTGTATTAAACAATTTATCTGCAATTGAGTTTCTCTAATTTTCCTCATTAAAAGATCAGTGTTTCTTCGTATATCTATCAAGCGTAAAGATTTCGATTTTTCGATTGCTCGAGAATTCCCAATCTGTAAAAAACAGAAAAAATAGATGTGTTATAACAGAATAAAAAGATATTCTATGAAAAATTGAATGTTTTTCGAAATTAATTTTGTTTTTTAAATTATTAATCCTTCTGTTAATGTATCATTTTTCAGCTTTTTATTATTATATTTCCCAAGCTTTTAAAAATGTAAAAGTGAAAATGAAATAAAATCTGTTCATTGTTACTCAAAGGCTGGAATTTTTGAAGTCTTAGTCACTAAAATTTGTATAAAAATATAAAAACTTTTTACCGTTTAAAATTCGATGAATAACAAATTCGATATGAATAATAAAAAAAGAATAAAATTTTGAAAAATTTTAGTCGTTTTTTAGCAAGAACTAAAATACATTAAAATGAAATACGTTTTCAATTAACATTTAGCTGCATTGGTACTGTTACTTCGTGACCAGCCAAGATCAATACAAACGATTCAATAGAAATATGTAGCATACTCGGGGAAGAGGAATGCAGGCATTTTTAACACAATTTTGTATTTTGCTATTCAAGCAATTCGATTCTTGTGAATTAAGTAATTCGATTATTTTTAATCCATCTACATTTCTCGGAGAATTTCCGCATTTATCCTTCCAAGTTTTACAATGCCCGTCTTTGTGCGCATTATTATCAAAAGGATATGTTACCACGAATGCGTTTTACATCATGCCAAGGTGCAGTCGGCACCGCGTACTGGCATTTCTTGATCGATCTTCGAAAATATGACGAGTTTCTGATTGACGTCATTGTAAAATAATGATAACATCACGTAATCGCGCCTGATTATAATCAATAATTTAAACTGCACTCTCAGCGTGATACAATTTTGCCGGTTAACACGTGGTCGTGTTAAAAGCGTGAATCGCGAAACGAGAAAAAAAAAAAGTGGCAATTACAACGTAACGTTATCTACATTTGACGAAGGCAAATTGCCAAGATAATTGCAGAGTTGATTCCAAGTTTCATAAAACGAAGTATATTTTATCGTACACTTTAAATATCGAGTTAGATATATCCAGAGTCGTTCCACATAAGTCATTTTAAATATCGACATTTTCTGTAATCGCGAAATAAAATAAAAATTGTACTTTGCGAGAAATTATTTTATGCCATAAACGGAATGTATGTTACCAGTTGTAAATATTGTCAGGCAATTTTTGACCTTGGACCTCGCGTGTAATGATAGCTATCACAGGCACGATCATAAAATTTCATTATTCGTAACATATGAGTGCTACTCACTCAAGTCAGCTGTTCCATTACACTCCCAGAGAAAATTACATTAATTACAAAATTAATTAGAAATGTATCGCAAACATTCTGATAAACTACTGATGTAGATCTGATGTAGATATCCGCGGAAAAAAGGCTGTATAGTTTGTCTACACAAAATAATAAAGGGTGTCCCAAAATTAACGCAAGATTTTAATTAAATAGAAAACACAGTTTTTAGTTTTTTGATTGTTATTTTTTTACTGAATCATAAAGTACATAGGATAGGGTTATTTGTGGAATAACACATCGGGCAAATGGCCTCCACGGCTTTGCATGCACATACGCACTCGTTTGTCGAAATTTTCCATGACCATTTTGCATAAATGTGGCTGAATTTCGTTGATGCAGCGTTGAATCTCCTCCTTTAATGCACGGGTGGTTGTGGGCTTGTTGACATAGACCTGTGATTTCAAATAACCCCATAAAAAGAAATCTAATGGTGTTAAATCACACGATCTAGGGGG